GAGGTTTGGCTTCCCCTGCAGCTCGGGTTGCTCTTGGGAAGGCATCATCAACATCGTGTTTCCCTGGCTACCATTCTCCGTGTAATATGGGTCTTCAGCCTAAACAGGTACATAAATAACAAAGGCAGAGTTAGGGAAGGGAAAGGGCTGACAGCAAGCGGCTGTGATTGCAGGCAGGGGCTTTTTTTGGTGGGGCCGCCGCTCAGGCTGCCCGCGCTTCCTGGACAGGAGGGACAAACAACTGCAGGCATGGGAACCTGCTCTCGCTGACGAGACAGGGAACAGAGGGCCTGAACCATGCCGTGGCAAGACGAAGCAAGGAAACCAGCCAGGAACCGCATTTTTTTGTTCCTGGACCTGAAAAGAGAAGCTGTCAGGTTTTGTTGGTTTTGCATAACCAGGTTTTGGAGCTGACCCTGCCTTGGGTTTGCAAAGCTACGCCGTGACAGACCACCTCTGCTTTCCACCTGGGCCAAGTCAGAAGCACCATTGAATGAAAGCTATGGAAATTGCCTCTTTTTCTTTCCCCATCCTTCTTTCCTTCAGCCTGTAAATGGATACACAGCTCACAGCAACGTGCTAGCAGAAGCGTAGCCCTCCCGCAAATGCAAAGATCACGCTGCGGGGCTTGTTACCACCAGTGCTAGAAGGAGCAGATGCCTCTGGGGGGTCCAGAGCAATGGCGGAGATGTCTCTGTCCCCCCCCACGATAACCCCCCGTGTTGGGCCGTGGCTGGTCTGGCAGCAATGCGGTGGGCGCTGGTGGGCGGTCCCGTCGCTGGCACCCTCGTCCGTGGCAGTGAGGTGGAGGTGCTGGACACACCTCACCGAGAACCCGGGTTGCCGCTGCCGTGCGTTTACATGGGCAGCTCCCAGGCACGCATCTACACTGCCTTTCGCTTGCTGCCAAGCATCCAGGAGACGGCACCCGGAGGCAGCGGGCTCGAGAGCCCACGCTGCGATGTCTCTGCCTCTGCCACATGCACTCGGCTTCCCATCCGCAGGTTCTGAGAGCACCCTTCCTGGCAACGAAATAACCCAGCAGCTTCCCAGGACACAACTGTTCACGAGCCCACCTACGACAACGGGGGAAAAGCGTGGCCCGTCCTCACTTTACAGAGGGCCCACGTCCCCGAACGTCACTGGTAGGGACGAGTTGTCTATGGTCAGCCTGCCTGGAAAGGGGAAAATGGAAATAGGAAATTTCTTTCTCTTTCTTTCTTGATATATTTTATTACCATCGCTTGTAAAGTGATGGAAGAAGTAGCCATTATTACAGCATTGGTACGAGACAGACATAGAACTCAAATGCAGCAAATGGAAAGTTAAAGTGTGTCACTTTTAATGACAAATTCACAAGGTTTCAGTCTGGAGGGGTCTTGCTGGATGAGTTCTTACTGCTGAGCAAAAATAAGTGTTAGACCTAGAAGTACGAGTGAGAAAGGGGTGGTTTTCTCACAGAAGCAACCAGCTAAGAGTGAATTTTAGAAGGCGAGAGAGGTTTCCCTTCACCCTGTACGGTCTGGCCTCCCTGCTCCCACCTGTCACCGTGCCCAGGCTGACCCAGCCCCGGGTCACAGCGCCCGTGCACCGGCCGAGCCGTCCCG